ACCACGTAGCCGTTTTTGAGACAAGGATAACTCTATCACTAACCAAACCAGTGGTAGCAGTTGACATCTGAGTCAGATGACCGTCTGTATTACTCGGGATAAATGCAGGGGGTACCTCTTGAGTTAATAGCCAACAAACATTGGCGAATCAAAAGGTTCAGTCGGCCTCCGCCGCCTGGTACCTTTACTACTCAAGCAGGAGTGACGGCGACTGAGTAACACCAAAGTTACCTCATAGTCACTCTCTCAAACTTAGTATGGAGCCTAAAAGGTATGAGTCGTCCGCCTGTTTTTAGAAAACAGGGGCTCTCAACCACTACTCCTGCTAGGTTAACAACCTATGAGTTAAAAGCCAACAAACATTGGCGAATAAAGGGGAACAACCGGTACCCACCGCTTGATACCTCTACTACTCAGATACTTGGCGACTAGGTAACAATCATGTTTACTTGGTCAAACCATTTTCCTACTTGGTTAATTTTAAAAATGACAGGACAGCCTGCCTAAAGGGGATCCAGTCTTTAAAATGGTTCGAATACCGATTGGATAAATGGCCGACTGATCGTCTAGCGTGGAAACAGACAACCAGTCGTCCAGGGGCATAGGCGGCGTGACTAACTATTCGTACCTGTCTGCAACTATTGGCCATGTAAAACAGTCGGTATAGTGTACAATTGGATATCAGAATATTCAATACTTGAACAAATTTGAAGCAAAACAAAAAATTCATTAAAAAGAAGCCGGTCATCAAAGACCGGCAAAATATTCAGAGCCCCGGCCCCCTGGCCGGGTAAATACAAAACAAACGGCACGCAGGCCGTGACAAGAAGACATAAAGCTTAAGAAGGGGGCAGATCTTCAATATTAGCAGCTGCCGCCTGGTCAGCACTCTTCTTGCTAGACTCGGCTTCAGCTGCATCCTTCTTTGATGCATTACCCCCAAACGGCACAAGCGCCACTACCGGCTGCTCCTCCTCCTCCAACGCTTCCTCCAACGCCTCTTCCTCAGCAGCCGCCAGGATCTCTTGATTATATGTTTCAGAACACTGGCGGTACGTTTTTTCCCATGAGGCAAAGTCGGCATTAGGGAAGAGGCGGCCCCAAGTCATGCGCTGGATTTGAGCAGAGTCTTCCATCATCTCCCGGACCAGCTCTTTCTTTTCTTGCTCGACCTTTTCCGAGAGCTCCTGAGTAAGATTCTTCTCCTGGGTCACCAGGCGTACCTTTACGCTCGCCAAGGATTTCTCCAAGGTTTCGTATGAGGACATCTTTTGGCGAAGAGGTCTCAGCTCGGTCTTGAGGTTGTTGATGGTCGCCTCCAGCTCGCTATTCCTCTTCTGGGCCGCCTCTAACTGAGCCCGGATAGCGGCGGTAGCCTGCGCCTGATAATAAAGAATATCAATGGTCAGAACTTCATTTTGGGCAATTTGAAACATTGTCTTATCACAGTCAGAGGCGGTTATAGCTTTTGCAGCCTTTACCTCTTTGTTCTTCCGGTCAAGCGGCTTGCGAAGGCGGTTCACTCGGAGCAGGGCCTAAGTAAAAAGGGGAACAGGCGTTTGTTTCCAAACAAAAAAGAAAACAGGCGTCCTGGAATTCAAATACTCAAAAATATGCTAAGTATACCTCAGCAAGGACCCCTGCAATCCCGTCTAGGTCAAGGGTGCCGACACCCTGACCGTTTCTCTTTCAGCTGGAGGAACTACCTTGATCATAGACTTGTCCACCTCGACCAAGTCAGGCTCCTAAGGGCCGGCTGCATCAAGCATAAACAAACGGATTAGACCTAGTAAAAAAGGGAGCAAGTCTAAAATTTACAAGGACAACTTCATACTTCTAGGCGGCCCAGCTGGAGTTTTAGAAGAAGTGGCCGGCTGTTTCTCAGCCGCCGCATGTTTCCTGGCAGAACCAGGAGAGCTCGCAACAGTCGTCCTCCGGGCCTTGAGGTCCGGCTGTTGGGAAGAAGAAGCTCTTGGAGCGCCCGTCTAAAAAAGAAGAAGTCAGTATATGCATAAACACAACTCCAAAAAGAGGGTGAAAGGTTCGAAGCCCACCAAGGGTGCCCCCTTGTTGGGGGAGTCGGTTGAAGAATGTTGCATGATCGAGGCCCGCAACATGGCCGCCGTAGTCTTGGAGGCGGTAATTTTGCTCATAGCGTCCGCTGCAAAAACAAATAGCAAAGTTAATAAGTCATAACAAGAAATGCATGGAACAACAGAGTATTCGACAGGCCGGCTACCTCTTGAGCACCGACTGCTGAGGCCACACGCGGCCAAAAAGTACTCGTCGTAGAGCCATTTGAAGTTCGGGACGCAGTGCAGGGGTACTTGCTCTCGTACCCCTGAAGTAGAGTTCACCTTCGCCTCCACTTTGAAGAGTCCTTTATCTAGGATCTCTTTCTTAGCCTTGGGGGGAACAGGCGACATGCTGCGGCCGCCTGCAAGAAGGGGCGGATTCCTGTTCCACCTGTTGAAGCGCTTGTTCAGCTCTGTGTCTGAACTCTCAATGATGAGGAAGGTGCTCCGCCAGTCCTTCCATTTGTTTGCTTTACCTCTCGCCATGAGGTAGCCCCTGTGGCTCGTCATTTGATACCAGCCGGTACCGCCTGCCTTAGGGGTCCGGCTGAGGTAGTTCATGTGGGCGAAAGCCTCAAAGCTCGGCTCCACCCCGTGCAATTCGCACCCGGCCACATAGCCGAGTACGTTGACCCAGGAGTTCGGGGCTAACTGTCATAACCCCAACTCATACCCATCCAAGATCCGCTGAACAGCCGGATGTAGTGGGAAGCGCAGCCCAGCCTTGATGGCCGCCTCGTAGCAGCCAAGGCAGGCTCTATCATAACTTGTACCAGCCGGCCAGACGACTGTGTCTTTTGGATCCGGCACAAACACTAAAAAGTCGGGGCCCATTGTGTGGTTTGCGATAAAGCTCTCAACTTTCTCTTGCATGGTCGTGATCCGGCCCCGAGGTACCGTGCAGTAGTAGGGGGTATTTTGCTCTCGGTAAGAGGCGGATGGCTCCGCCCAATCGTCCCCCTTCTCAACTGCGTGAGAAAGCCTCGCCTCTTGCAGGCGACTGTTTTTCTCTTCTGTGTCCAGAGAAGCATGGCCAGAAGAGCTAGACTCGGAATCGTCCTCTAACGAGTCCGAAGAGGACGACTCCTCCCCTCTCCCGGAGGGGCCCGCCTCCTCTCCTTTAAAAGGAGCAGGAGAGAATGTATAATTGTCAACTATAAAATGGGAAGGGGTCACTTTGACTCCTCCCTCAGAACTGCCGGCTTTCAAGCCGCTTTGTTTCACTTCCACATCTGGCGCCTGGTCAGATGTTTCACTAATCGGCACCCTGTGGGAGGAGCCGTCTGAGTTTGAGATCCTGGCAGTCTTTTTTGTTCTGGCCATCATGCTCTGCATAGACACAGATACAGTCCGACTTTGTATAAAGGGCAAAGATGGGTCCGGAAAAGGGCAGGCGGCACTCCTAGTTCTAGATTCAGTCGTCCCCGGTGACCGGCTGATCACTAACCTAGGTCGTGTCGTGTGCTTCCGTGGTGCCATTTCAAAAAAGAATAAAAAGAAAATTAAGAGTAAGAGGTCTGAAAATCCTTTGCAATCGGCTTGTCAGAGCAGGCGGTAGGCAGAAAGGGTCCAAAATGTCAGAGCAAGTTCAGGGGTCCGAATGTTCTCTCAAAAAGTTCTCAAGTGTGAAAATGACTGAAGTCAACACTCCCTTATATAGGCGAAGTGAGAAGGCGAAGGGTCACTTCCAGAATTCATAATTTGGGCGGGAGAATCTCTCGGCCTTTCGCCGAGTGACACTTGTAGCAGGCCGTCACCTGTTACAGTGCGACACCTGTCACAGGTAACACGTGACAAGTCACGTGCCACCTGTGAGGGGCAAATGATTAGGGGATTTTGCTCCCACCAATCGGAATGCGCCTCGTGGGCCAATCAGGTCCTGCCAAGTGTCCCTCAGTTGGAACTGTCAGGGCTTGCCACGTGGCACCCGCTTATTCGTCCACCTTGGACTTATTATGTCATGAAACGTGGCATACTCCATGCCTAATGGAGAAACCGGCCACCCAGGCCCAACTTTCGAGGAAAGCCCAATCAGCCCAAGGTTAACCTAAACCTAGGATTGGCACGCTTCTCAAAGACTATAAATACTTAATTAATCCTCATTAAAGGGGATTAAGCAATTAAACACTCTCACCTAGAGAGACCCAATCACTTTAATTTCCGCATTAATTATTCCTCAAACAAGTACTAACTTGATCGTTGGAGGCGGAGCTCCCACCACCAGGAGTCTCCGTTGTTTTGCAGGTACAGGCATCCGGTTCCAATCTCGGAATTGTAACTCTCCCGCAGGACATCAGAAAACCCCGAAACAAGCTGTATCTTAGAATTTTACTACAATAAAATAGATTCTATGAATGCTCATTTGGACCCTTTTCTTTTGATTTTAGCATGGTGGCATTTTGAGGTATTTGGGGAACTAAATTCTCTGCTTTGCAACTTATATACTGTTATAGTTGGACGATAAACTGAATGAATTGTAGTAGCTTAATAATAAGTTTGGGGAATGCTTTGGGTCTGATATTCCTGTTTGTCTGTCATATGGTTGGTTCCTTTTGGCAATAGGACATTAATAAAAAACCTCTATTTTGGCATTAAATCATCAAAAATACATATAAGTAGGCATTCATGTTGATTTATAATAGGTTGATGAATAATATATGTTTCCAGGTTCTCCTTCAGGAATTTGAGTGCATTAAATTTTAACCTGCCTGACCTGACTCGTGCTTCTACTATATATATATGTAGTATGAAATTTGGTGTTATGCTCCCTTAATCTTTCTGATGGAATTTCTTAAAACACATGTTGCACAGTGTTTATATAGATTAGATTAATGTTGTGCAGATAAGATCCACGCTTTCTTTCTTACATTGTCATAAGGTAACCAATAATATACAGGGTTCATGATATTCATTTTCTTTCTCCAGATGAAAAGATGGAACCATTGAGCTGGACACGAAGGGTTCATATAGCATTGGATGTCGCAAGAGGCTTGGAGTATCTTCATGACGGGGTAATTTATTTATTCTATCTATTGAGTGGGGTTTAGATAAGCGAAAACCTACTTATTTTTTTTGTTGTTTTCAATCTGATTTCTTCCTTCTGCTTTCAGGCAGTTCCTCCTGTGATACATCGTGACATTAAATCTTCCAACATTTTGTTGGATCAGTCAATGAAAGCTAGGGTATGTACATTGTTATCACTTCCCAACAGCTTTGACATTTTATTTTGCTTGTGATGTCCTTAGGATTTAAGGGCTTGGGAGTTGGGACTTGATGCTTCCTTTTGATTAAAGGATTTGATATTGGGGTTCCATGTGTTTATGGCTAATTATATGCATTTATTTTTCCAGATTTAGTTATCCCTGGATCATTTTGGCATTAGTTATAGTCGGACCAATTTTGTTGCAAAACTCTGAATAGAAGTTAAGTTGTATTGTGCACAAAAGTTGAATCAAGTGTTATAAGCTCATCCTCAAGAACAAGAACTAGGAATTAAGTGTAAGTGTTCTATAGGACTACTAATATATCAGAGTAATCGCATAGACCTCTGAATACTGCGCTTTTAAAAAGGATCATTTAAGATGCATGAGTTTTTTTTCTTTTCATTTCTTAAGCAATTAGTTAGAGAGTTTATTAATAATGCATAACTGAAAATTTCAACAAAATTTCATTCACAATAACATCAAAAGTTATAGCATTTACCATGAAATTTGCGCTATTATTATGAAGACATAACTGCTATATTGACTCAGTATATCATGTAATATACAGCTTTGATTGCGAGCTTTTCTTCCAGTTCAATATTACTGTTGTCTTCAACTCAGCATCAAAACCAGTAAAATAATCCCAAGAGCCAACACTTTTAAAGGACAGGTACTTGATTCTTTCAGGATGATTCCTTCAGGATGGTGTGCAGATTCACCTTTTTCTAACACACACCAGGATCTCTTTTCTTGCTTTAAATTGTTGGCATTACAAGTAGTAGGATCCTGTGACCACTATTCTGTCTGGCATGTATGCTCAGCTCTAGTGTTGATGGGTGTTCCTATTAAGGGTCACATTTCAGCTCTAATATTTGTATCTTGCCTGAATCGTTATATACTACTAGCATCAATGTATGGTATTATTCAGGATTGTTGAGTCTAGAGGCCTGTAATAGTTAACATTGAGCACTCACAAGTCACAAACCAGCCCGTATCTACTAGAGTTAGAAATGAGTTTCAGATATTTACAAGATTTGGTAGCTAATGGCTCAATTTATAAAAATAGAGAATTTTTAGATTCTTTTGATTTATGCCTGATGTTTATTTGTATTGATACAGGTAAATGTGCACTAACGGAATTATCATGCTGCAGTTAACTCTAGAGTTAGCTTGAATCCTTCCCCTACAATGGATATCAATGCTGCCATTGGCAATGAGGACACCAGCTTGGGTGGGGAAATGGCATTTGATACTACAAAGACAAACACCATTGCCACCAATGTCACTGTGCTCTGCTTTGCATCAGTTTTGCATTCTTGCCGCCCTTGAAGTCCTGAGTTCTATTAGTTTTTGTATACTATCAGACAACATATGTTAGTGTTTATATGTCCAAAAATATATATGTTAGTGTTTATATGTCCATTTTTTTTTAGTTTTTTAAAGTGTAATATTACAAGTTATTGAGGCAAATATATGTGTTTTATGTATATTATGATTATATATAAGTATTTGGTACAATTTAAGTGAAAAAAATGCAAAAAAAAAAAAAAAACAAAAAAAAAATTTAATTTTTTGGGGCACTTTTGCCACCGAGTCAGTGTGAAAACCGGTGGGAAATGTTATGGTTTTGCCACCGGTTCACTTGAAAACCGGTGGGAAAAGTCCTCCAGCTATAAGATAAATCACATGTTTTTGCCACCGGTTCACTCCAAAACCAGTGGGAAAAGTGGTTTTTGCCACCGGTTTTGAACCGGTGGGAAATCTTTGGGGATTTAGCACCCCCCAAATCAAGAACGGTTCAAAACCGGTGGGGAATGTGTGGTTTGAACCGGTGGGGATTGGGGTTTTTCGCCTAGTGAATTAATCAAGGTTTAAAGATTTAAAATTTTTCGTCAAAAACTAAAAACCCCTCAAAAAACATGTTTCCGGGTGGATTTTGGCTCCTGGAGCAATCACAACGTGGAACGAAACCGAATTAGAACATCGATTCCACCAAAAATTCACTAGTTTTGGGTAAAAATCTTGGTTCTTTAGCCAAAATAAGTATAAATACGAGATTAAAACTAATAATAGCGAGCTTCTAATCCAATTAGAAAGAAAAACCAGAAATTCAAATCCATTTAAATCACCTTAATTAATTATTAGTTACAATAATTAAATGCACGCGGCTCCGATACCGCTGTTGGGTTTCGTGATGTCCAACATCACGCGGAAGGAAACCCGCCCAAAATCCGCACACAAATTAAAGTAACTAAGCATGTATTAAAAGCATAATCACATAATTAACAAGAAGAGAGAGAAAGAATCATTACCTTTGACATGTGCTTCGCTCTCAGTAGAGCTCGGACTTGAAAGCGTAGAGTCCCGCAAATGCATGAACCTCCGACTAATAAGTGCCATTTATGGCACTCATTTGATGAGTTTTTAGGTTGTTTTTACCTTCTTTTCATGGCTTTATTTCTTAATAAATGCTTGGTTTTATTCATTTTCTCTTCAGTTTCCTTATTCTTTCTTATTTTGTGCTTTTCTCCAGTTTTGTGGATATTCTAGTGTTTTCTCCTTTATTTGTTTTCTTTTCGTGGTTGTAGGTATTGTATAAGGTTCGAGTCTTGATATTGGTTGCTTGCTAAGTTGGAAGATTCCCTTGGAGCAAGCTTATAGCATTGGGAAAGCTCAAGAAGTAAGAAAGTGGCATGCTCCAAGTTCTAGCTCTTGGGCTCTCAAGCTGCGCTCTCATGAAACCATGGTGTTGAACCCACCGTCAAGTCCATTTGAATCTGCCATGCTTAGTGACTATCATGTAGACATTGCGTGCGCACATGAGGAACTATTTGCAAGCACATGAAGCTACGAGGAACTCGAAGAAACCCAGAAGAGCGCGAGCTCGCAACCCGTGCGCGGGCGCGTCTCCCTGGTTTCTGGATTTTCTCGATTTTGTTTTCCCGCCTCTTATAAATATCTATTTTGACCGATTTTTAGGAGAGTTTTTTGGAGACATTAATTTCCTCATAATTTTAGCTGAGTTGAGAGTTTCTCTTTCTAGTTTTAAGGTTAGTTTTAGGAGTAGATTTAGAGAGAGAAAGTGAGAGATTTCAATGGTGATTTGAGAGATTGATGATGTAAGGGTGACAATTGTATTGAAGATATTCTCAATTATCAATGAGCATTTCTAACTCTATCTCATCTTATTGCTTTGTTTGATTTCATGTTTGTTTGATTGGGTTTTGATGATTGAATCTTGATTGGTGTAGTTGTTCTTCATATTTTGTTGATTCTTGATTTCATTACTTGCTTGTTGATTAGATGATGATTCTTGAGTAGTTGTTTTGCTAGGGTTTGGGTGAAACTTGTATGAGTGATTGGTTGTGATGGATTTGGGAATTATTTTGATTGATTGTTGAGATTAAAGTGATTAATGTAAGTTTGCATGTGTGTAGTTTAATTAGGCCTTGAGAACTATGCTAGATTGCATTGTGATTCCTAATGACATGACCACTTGATTTAGGACTTGCAATTATTGATTGCTTTTGATTGTGATTCTCTTAGTTTGTAATTCATAGAGGAAACCTAGGTTAACGATTAGGAGTAGCTCTTTGATTCCAATTTATAGCTCTTATCATTAGTCTTCACAACCATTGATTAGCTTAACCTTCCCAAGTTGTTGCAATTGTCGTGATTATTTGTTAATCCCCATTCCCTAGTGTTTCATTTTTTTGCTTATTTTATTTGGTAGTTGATTAGTATTAGTTACTCTATTCTTCACCCTTGACTTCGATCTAGCTTAGGCGCATATTGGGAACACTTGAACATAACCGTTCCTAGTGGTTCGACCCTTGACTTACCTCTATACTTGTATTTAGGCCTGTTAAGTGATTATAAATTTTGTTTGGCTCTAGGGAGGATTAGTCAACGAACTAGTTCACCCTAGGTTACCGACGGCTAACACCCTCGCTCCCTTAACCTGCCCGACCCTTACCTCGAAGCTTAGTCGGGGCTAGGCCAAAAATAACTTAAAGTATTAGAACGAAGGTTTTCTCTTCTTGGAGATCCCTTCAAGTTCACAACTCAAGTGCTCCTTCCCAATGCCAAATGATTGGTATTTATAAGGAAAGGAGCCGTTGAAATCTCATCTCCCATCAATGTGGGAGAGTCGGAAAAAATGAGAAATGGAATATAATTTAATTCTAAATTAAATTAAATATCCAAATGAATCACCAAACGACAAGTGCAAGGGGACAGCAAGTGGTTAGGTGAGGACCACATGGGGAGGACCATCCACCCCTTGCTCCCCAAGCAATCCACACAACCGGTCCTCACACACACAATGCACCACTCATGGCGCACCAGCTAGGCGTGGCTTGCCTTGGGCGCCAAGGCTACCTTGCTGGCGGCCTGGCCTCCTTCGCTGGGCTTGCCAACTGGTCGCGAATGCTGGCAGCCCAGCAAGCACACCACGCATGCATGCGGGCTGCTGCTGGGCATGCTAGTGCTGCTACCGCAAGCTCTTGCGAGCTGCTGCTGCTATCACTCGCAAGGCCTAGCTAGCATATGCGTGCTACTGGCCTTGCTTGCAATGGTGCGGCTGGTGCTAGCACGCTAGCATGCGCGCCAACAATGCTGCCCATGCTGTGCCAACTAACTAGCGATACTAGCATGCTATCTAGCTCGGCATTTCGCACCCTTGCTAGCCATATTGCTCTATCAATGGCTTGTTGTTTGGTCAATTTCTTAATTCGACTCGACTTACGACGCTTGGTTTCGACGCTCTAAGCTCGAAATCCAACGTCTTTGTTCTTAAATACTCTATTTACTCATATAATCCTTCAGATTAATTTGTCGTTTTGGTTCGATTCCACGATTGGGTGTGACCCGAAGGGTTCAGTCAAGATTAAACTGTAGTATTAATTATGCATTAATATTACTAATCGGAAGCGGCCTCCAGGTAGGCATTCCGATCACTTGACCTCACTAAATAATTAGCTTTCTAATTAATTCCGAACCCTCTATCGAAATAATACACTTGTTCAAAGGACGTCATTATGTTCAGTGTCTCTATGGGATTGAGCCACATGTTGGGGTTATTTTTACCCTAAACACCATGTGAGTGTTATATATAAGAAAAATATCGCAAATAATATTTGTTTCGGGGTTTTTTGAAGTCCTTCGGGAGAGTTACAATTCCAAGACTGACTTCTGGACTCCTGTACCTGCAAAACAACGACGACTCCGATGGGTGGGAGCTCCGCCTCCGACGATCAAGTTAGAACGTGTATGAGGGGTAAAGTGCGGAAAGTAAAGGGTCGCTCTCGGATTCCAAGAGAGAATCTGTTAATGTGAATTGAATATTTTCTTGAATAGATGTTCCTTAGAGGGAAACATCTCCCTTTTATAGGGCATTGGAAAACGTGCCCATTACTAGGTTTTCAGCAAACATAGGGCTAATTGGGCTTTGCCTGGAACTTAGGGCCGTAGGAGGCCACTTGCTCAGTTGGAAATTCTGCCTGCCACGTGTCGAGGCCTGATTGGTCCACATGGATGACACGTGGCAATATATCATTAGTCCACGTGGCGGGGAAAAACCCCCTAATCATTTGCCCTTCACAATGGTGACGTGGCATGCCACGACGTGGCGCCTGTGACAGGTGTCACACCATGATTGGAGAACGGTTTTTACCGTTTTTTTTTTTACCCTTGAAATTCCCCCCCTATAGATAGGGGGTGTCCAAATCATTTGGACATTCTAGAAACTTTTAAGACAGGACTTTGGACGACTGCTCTAACTCTTTGGACGACTGTCGCTTGTTTTTGCTGACCGCCTGCTTCTTCAGCTGCTTAATTTTTCAAGGGTTCCAAGACTTCTCTTCTCAAAGGTAACCGCCTGTTACCTTTTTCACTTTCTCTTTGTGTTTTCAGTTTTCAAAAATGGTAGCCTAAAAGCACCCTGCACAACCTAGGTTAGTGATCAGCCGGTCACCGGGGATGGCTGAATCCACTAGGCAAAAAACCTCAATCCCCACCGGTTCAAACCGCACATTCCCCACCGGTTTTGAACCGTTCTTAATTTGGGGGGTGCTAAATCCTCAAAGATTTCCCACCGGTTTAAAACCGGTGGCAAAAACAACTTTTCCCACCGATTTTGGAGTGAACCGGTGACAAAAACACGTGATTGAGGTAATAGATGGCAGACTTTTCCCACCGGTTTTGGGGTGAACCGGTGGCAAAACCATGACATTTCCCACCGGTTTACACATTGAACCGGTGGCAAAAGTTTGCCCGCCAATTTTGGAAAATATTTTGGGCACCGGTTCAATGTGTAAACCGGTGGGAAAAACCTGTTTTTTTTTTTAAAAAAAAAAATTATAATTAAAAATAATTAAATACCTGCAGATCCTTATTAATTCCGCCATTAATATATATTATAATAACATTAATAATAATAATAATAATTATTACCCGTATTATTATTATTATAATATTATTATTAAAAATACTAATAATATAATAATTTTTACATTGGAATAATAACAACAATACATAAATATTAATTAATAACCGTAAATGCGATACAATGAAATGTCATATAGCTTTTACAACTCATTAATTAAAAGGTGTAATATTTACAAACTATACTAATAATTAATGTATAAGTTAACAAGTTCAAATTAAATTATATGTGATGAAAGACGCTAACATGTCTCGAACTTCATTCAGCTCTTTGCTCGTCAATGGACCTCCTTTCTGTACCTTGTAAAACATGGTTAAACAAAATGATGTTAGCTAGAATTAATTACTTAGGTTATGTATGTAAAAATACATTTACAATTTAAGTTAGGCAAAAATTTAATACATAAGCCTATATGACTACTACTTCACCTATTTTCCACATTTATTGCCAAATTAGTTCATTCTTCCTCTTAAGATGTCATTATTACCTAGTTAGAGGCGGCTAAGGCTTGAAATCACATTAAAAGAGCATTTTAAGTGTTTTAAGACGCAATTTCATTCAAAATGGCCGAAATAAGGCCTATATCACTACTTGTATGCCTATTTTCTATATTTTTAATCAAATTAGCTCATTCTTCCTCTTAACATGTCATTATTACCTAGTTAGAGGCAGATAAGGATTGAAATCACATTAAAAGGGCATTTCAAGGGTTTTAAGACGCAATTTCATTCAAAATGGCCGAAATAAGGCCTATATCACTACTTGTATGCCTATTTTCTATATTTTTAATCAAATTAGCTCATTCTTCCTCTTAACATGTCATTATTACCTAGTTAGAAGCGGCTAAGACTTGAAATCACATTAAAAGAGCATTTCAAGTGTTTTAAGACGCGATTTCATTCAAAATGGCCGAAATAAGGCCTATATCACTACTTGTATGCATATTTTCTATATTTTTAATCAAATTAGCTCATTCTTCCTCTTAACATGTCATTATTACCTAGTTAGAGGCGGCTAAGGCTTGAAATCACATTAAAAGAGCATTTCAAGTGTTTTAAGACGTAGTTCAAGGGTTTTCTCTTATCAAAACACACCACAAAAGCAAATTAACTAAGTCAATGGCATACCTCATCAAGCTGTTGTAAGTCTGTACAATGATTCATTATGTCCAACATGAATCTCATCACGTATAGTCCGCAACCAACTTCGTTATCTTGTTGTGCACACTAGCATAGGAACACAGTAAATGAATCAAACATGCATAACAAATTAGCAATATCTTACGCATTGTTTATTATAAAAATCACATTATCATGTAGCATTACCATCGGTGATTTCTATGTAGGACCTTGAGGAGCTCGGCAATTTATCTTCTTCATAGCACTATAGAAAAGTAAGTTCAAACTTGATTAGTATGACTAATATAATAAATGAGTTAAGTAAGGATAATCAACACTAGATAGCTATATTTACTTTCGCAGTATAGACTTCACGAGGAGCTTTTTCGGATGAGGCAATCGAGCTGAATCTAAAAGGAAGATGGTGTTACTGGGAACACAAATCACCAGCAGGGTCCAATGTGCACTATAGAAATGGACAATACACAAACAAGTCAATAATTAGCCGTGTACAACATATAATTAGGGGAAACAAATGAATTTGACATGGTCAAACGTACTCCTCAAAACATGGGGCGAATATGAACTTGACCCGCACGCAATGATTCCTTGATACCCCGTTCAACATAGTACAACACGTCAGGGTAGTTGCCTAAGATTCTAGTAGTGGAGATTTGCTCGGGGCATAACCACCCGACTTGACACGGAGAATCAATCTCAAGTAAGTGCTCTTGTAGTGCTCTACATGCATGGTAACAAAATATTAATGGGAAATTAAATGACAAGCAATCACCACTAATCTTAATAACATAATAGTGTCTGGCATTAAATTACCTCATGAATGTTTGAACGAGGGAGATGTTAAGCATTGAACCACTTAGAAATTCTTTCACATCTTCTTTGCTAAGCCATGCAACTGCATCCTCATCAAAGTGGAACATTGCCTTAGGTAGTGGAACTTGAATGGGAGTGTCACTAGGCAACATACTAACACGGTTGTGTAGAAATGTTAAATCTTTAGACAGCGTTTGAAGGACCGTGTCAGAAACAAGTGGAGTAGCTTGCAAAGCTTAACCTCTCGAAGAGTTCTTCTTTGACCCTTTTTCACTCTCCGACCTTTGTTCACTCCTCTTCTTTGGCACCGGTTGATCAACGCTTATTGGTTGTTCCACTTTCCTCTTTGAAGTTTGTATTTTTTGCGAAATCTAATACAACAAATCACGCAATTGGTTAGAAAAGACAAATCCATCTAACTCTTGTGAAAACAACCGAGCATAAAGTACCGAACGAACCCAAAATCTTAATTACCTGGTTCATCAACCTTACCCAAGCACATGGCCACTGCACAAAGCTACCTTTTGCCGCCCAAAGTGTAGTGAACTCCTCTTCCTCTATGGGCACCGGTATTAGGATGTCCTCGAACCCGGTAATAACAGAATTGATCCCAACCGAGTAATGTTGTGGCCTAAGCGGTCGCAAATGGACCGTACCTTGTTCGGCCGGTTGTGCACTACCATATGCAACCACATGCAAAGCTCCAGATTCGTCCGGGTGTAGAAGTGCACAACGGGTCTCTTCCTACACCAATTTGAAAGATCAGTTATTAGAACCAAACATATCACAAGGGGTCGTTTCCTACACAATTGATAATGTGCCCATATTCACTAAGATTGATAATGTGCCCATATTCACTAAGATAGAACTAAACAAAATCACCTGTAAATCTGGAAAATGATGAGGTGTTGGATTATCGAGCTCCCTCGAGTCCGCATGTGTAGGCGTACCACCCTGCAACAAGAAAGTAATGACTGCCACCTTAGATCCTACATAACTCAATATGCCAAAACTAAAAGTTTTAAAACTACCTCATTTGCATCATCGTCTCCATGTATATCATCTTCCCCTTGTCCTTTTGGGTGACTACATGAGTCGACGGGTGTATTCGAGGGGAAAGGCAAGCTCGGTAGGTTCATTTGCTTCGCCCAAGCGTTAAATTCACTTACGAGCTCGTTGTGGACTTGTTCCTTAATCGATGCCACTGTGGAAACTAAGTCATGAGGTGAGTTCACACTTGCTCGGGATCTTCCTGATTTGGTATACTCTGGACCCATCACCTTTTCCCACCCTAGCAATGACCCTCCTACACCTACTACCCGTCCTGGATGGTGTAGGGATTTCCCAAAGCCAAGGTGAAAGGGTCTTTTTCTACACTTGGGACGAGCTTGCCTTCAACCAGTTCTTCAGTGTGTTCAATCTGTAGCAAAAAAAAAACAGAAACCAATAGCATCCATAAGTGATATTTATGCAAAATATTCATAGAGTTCTCAAGTTCGTAGTTACTTACGAGCTTATCAGCCATTTCTTTGGTTTCCGGAGCCTTGATGGCCCATTTTCCGGTCTCCTTGTCACGTGCATGCAGTGAACAGAAGAAATCACCAGCATGACTCACCAGCGTAGTGATCGTGGAAGAAGAGGGTCCTTTGGACGACCCTAGTAGCGAAGTGGGGTATACTCCTTCGTTGACCCACGTTTCCCTCCATTCACCAAATGTCTTACACCTCATACGTTGGGTGTATTGCTTCATCTTTGCATTTTTGGAATTTTGCTCCCTCAGTTCCTACGTAATTAGAATTGTTAGTATTATTACTTCAAAAAGAGATAATATATTATACAATTGTAATCAAATTTACTTAAACTTACAATTGCTTCCTTTGTACTTTGTTGAATAACAAAAGCTTCCCAATCATCCTTCGATATGTTTGGCCATTTTTGCCATGGGAGTAGCTCTTCATTGATGACTTCATCATCATTGCCTTTCTTCTTCTTTGGTTTTTTCTTCCTCTTTGTAATCCAACAACGAACTAATTCGCTCTTGAAGCCTCTGAATATTTCCGCTAGCAAAGATTCAAACACCCTTCGCTTGGCGGCATCATTAGAAATATTAAACAGACTCTGCAAACACAAATAAAGTCGATTATTAGTTTCCCCTTTTACATAACATTAAAGTAAAGGTATTTATAATTGTATAAATATGCAAATAAAACACTTGCCCTTGTATCATTCCAAAATGTGTCAATCAATCCTGGAGGTACTTCCCGCATTTGAAGTGTAATCGAGATTTTACGCGCACAAATGCCAACGTGAATAGCATATGGACGACGGAATTTTCCTACAGGTTGGCCCGCCTTGTCGTACTCCAGGACCATGGGACCGACGGGTTTCTTGAAACTTGTCGTCGGACCCCTCACCTTTTTCTTAGCCGGTGCCCTCACCCCTCCTCCACTTTGTCCTTGGCTTTGATTGTGGGAAGTAGCGTTCTCACCAACCGTCTCAGAAACTGCATTTTCAATAGGAGGCGCTTGTTCAGCCTCCATTTCAAATGCATCCAGCCTACGCTCCAACTTATCCTGAACCTGATCTTCTGCCTCACCCAAATCAGGCTCCTTGTTCACATCATACAACTCATCACCATCCCCAGAGAAGTCATCATCATCATCCTCTACATCCTCGACACAAACACGGTCCTGATCGTCCGCCATGAGATGTAATCACCTGCCATAACAATCATAACACGTTAGTAGTTGTATTATAAATACATTTGTAAGGTACAGTTATAAAATCAAATATAAATTTCCTAATTATAATACTTATGACAATTAATTAATTCATTTTCGGCTAACCTATCATTTTATAATATTTTCAACAACTAAAATTGCAAAATTGCTGAAAAATAGTACCTCATTCTAATATTCCTTCGTTGTGGTCTAATCGCACATAATTGGTTTGGTCGTCTATGTCATTTGGTACAACAGGTCTAGGAACAGTGAAAGGTGCCGAGTCATCAAACGCATCATATTCTTCCTCATCCTCGACATCTCCAATGCCTAGAATTCTTCTTTTGCCGGCTAGCACAATAGACCATTTCATATCTGCTGGGTCAGTTACGTAAAACACTTGCTTAGCTTGAGATGCAAGGATGAATGGTTCCGCACTGTCATTTAGGTGGCTAAGATCTACAAGAGTAAAGTCATCATATTTGACGTTACGCCTAATATTATCAACCCATTTACACCGGAAAAGAGCAATCGTGAAGCTACAATAATCAAGCTCCCATATCTCTTGAATTCGGCCATAGTATGATAACTCTGCATCAACGTGTGATTTATCCTTAGCACTTGCAAACTCTCTTGACGATGCCACAAGCGTTACACCACTGTTTTGGGTCGAGGAAGATTTCAAATCCTGACGCTCAGTCCAAAAAGTGTACCCATTTATGTCATATCCCTCAAATGAGCGAACATCATCTCTAGGACCATAAGCAAGCCACCTTAATGTATCAGTGACACTCTCATCCATTCTACCCATCACTCGATCACAAAACCAACTCACAAACCTCTTATTATGCATCTGCATCAATGCCCTTTCACCTTTCGATGGAAATTCATCACGCAAACTAGCCATGTGCTCATCTAAGTATGGGTGAACATCTACAACATGGTGCAACACATATATGTGTGCTTGTAAAAACTTATCTCGGTCAGGTGACATTCGTTTTGACCCGATTGTGCCGTGACCATCAAGTCTCCCTTCATGTCGAGAAGTAGGAAGACCAATAGGTTCAGTAACAGCTATATAGTCGGCCATAAAATTACCAATCTACTCACCCACGATCCCTTGAATCATACTTCCTTCCGGGTGAGCCCGATTCCTTACCTTGTTTTGCAATGTACCCATGTGTCTTTCAAAAGGATAGCACCACCTCATGAACACTGGACCGCACAACTTAATTTCACGCACCAAATGAAGAATAAGATTCACCATTATGTCAAAGAATGAGGGTAGGAAGTACATCTCAAATTTTCACAAAGTCACAACCACATCCGCCTGCAAAGCATCAAGTGCACAAGAATCAAGCACTTTGCTGCATATTGTATTGAAAAAAGAATAGAGGCTTGTAATAGCTTCCCTCACGTGTTTCGGTAAAATACCACGTATTGCAATTGGTAGGAATACTTGCATAAGAACATGACAATCATGGGATTTCATACTTGTAAGCTTCAATTCTCCATTTAAGGATACAAATCTTTTCATGTTAGATCCATACCCTGATGGAACCTTAATGCCGTATAGACATGCACAAAACATCCGTTTTTCTACCCTTGACAATGTGTAGCAAGCCGGAGGTAAATAAGCCTTGGCTTCCTTTGCTTTTCCATCATAATTCTTCTTTAACCCATCTGTGGACTTTCCTTTTCCCTTGCTCTTCCCCTTTCCTTTTTTCGAACTCGTTTCATCTCTCTTTTCCTGTTCCTTTCCTTTTCTAACCTTTTCCTCAGCCCACAATTCTGGACGAACCCCCATCTTTTCCAAATCTAACCGTGCACCCTTTCCATCCTTTGTTTTGCTTTGAATATTCATTAGCGTTCCCACAAGAGCATCACACACTTTCTTCTCTATATGCATTACATCAAGACAGTGCCTAACATCATGTTCTTTCCAATATGGAAGCTTCCAAAAGATTGATTCTTTTTTAAAGAGAGCAGTTGAGTCCGCAGCTTTTTCTGTTTTCCCAAACACTGTTCGTATACCCTTAACTCAATCATAAACCTCCTCACAAGTCAATGGCCTAGGCGCAGTCCCCTCTTCCGCTTTCCCATCGGAAGCCTTTTTCTGCCTACGGTACGGGTGATCGCGCCTTAGCAACCTTCGAGTAAGCATATACACCTCTTTGTGACAATTGTCAAGGTGTATGCTTGGAGTGTCATCAATACAAATGGGACATGCTTTTTTCCTTTGTTCTTGTACCCAGACAAGTTGCCATATGCAGGAAAATCATTAACGGTCCACATAAGAGCTGCACGCAAGGTGAACATCTCATTCTTATGAGCATCAAACACGGAAACCCCTTCTTCCCACATCTTTCTCAAATCGTCAACAAGTGGCGCAAGATAAACATCTATGTCGTTTCCAGGTTGCCTTGGCCCAGTTATTAGTAGTGAAAGCATTACATACTTACGTTTCATGCACAACCAAGGAGGCAAAATGTAGATCACTAAAAGTACCGGCCATGTGATGTGCTAGGTACTAAGAGTGCCAAAAGGATTCATCCCGTCCATGCACAACCCAAGCCTTAAATTTCTGACTTCATCACCAAATTCACCAAACTTCATATCAATGTTCTTCCATTGCGGGGAGTCGGCTGGATGCTTCAGCATTCTATTTTTCTTTCTTCCCTCTACATGCCACCTCAAGTTTTTTGCGTCTTTTGGTGTTGAAAAAAGACGCTTAAACCTTAGAATGATGGAAAGATACCACAACACCTTTGCAGGAGGTCCGTTCATACCAGCATTGTAACTCATGCGCTTGTAGCGCGACTTCTTGCATCGTGGGCACTCCTCCAATTTTTCATATTCATTTCGATAAAGAATACAATAATTAGGACATGCATGTATCTTCTTATACTCCAAACCAAATGGACACATGAGCTTCTTTGCATAATAGTATGACTTAGGAATTTCATTCCCGTCAGGCAACATCTCACGTAACACGGTCAACAAAGACGTAAAATTGTTGTCCGTCCACCCATGCTTCGACTTAATGTTAAACAGTGTTAGCACAGCTGATAGTTTGGAGTATTTTTTGCAACCAGGATACAAAGGCTTTTTAGAAGCCTCCGATAACGACTCAAACACGTCACCTTCAACACCACGCATCATTTCATTCACCCCTTCATCCTCCACCTCATCCACCTGATCATCATCAAATCCATCCTCATCACCATTATCAGCAATAAATTCATCATTCTTGTATTCCTCGTCCACACGAATATCATTGCTTCTATCATCATGCACATCATTCCCAATAACATCCCCACTGTACTCTCCTTCTTCACCGTGCCAAATCCACACATGGTATTGAAGCCTAAACCCACGACAAACTACATGATCTCTAATGATATCAACACTATTAACCACCTTCACATTATTACAATCAACACAAGGACAATAGAGGCAATCGAAACCCATTCTGCGCTGATAAGATGAAGCCCTCTCACAAAACTCTTGAACCCCATCAAAGAATTCCAATGTATCACGTCTACCATACATCCAGCCACGATCCTTCTCCATTAAGTAAATTGCCTCTAAACATGGCAACATATTACGAATAATGTATAATTGCTACATCTATTATATATGTAAATCAAATTCAAACACACACCATGCATATAACATTCATATAGATACAATAATGCATATATGCTTAAAAAGGGTCCTTATCACTCCAACCTAACCCATCCTTGAACGTTTACTCTCACTAGTGAATGTATGTCGACTTTCCAATTTTAAGGAAAATCCGGCAGCATTTCCCCCTAGTTCTCCAAGTACACGATGTATGTAATAACTTACCCACATATGTACCCAGAGAACATGGTGATCGAGGAAATGCTAAGCCAAGATGTTCCTTAAAATCGAAAAAAGAAGACATACATTCACCACCTAAGTGAGAGTAAACGTTCAAGAACAATCCCAACCGGGGACTATTCAAGACTTTCTCCTAATGAGAAAGCCTTGAACGGGTATCTAGGCATATGATGATGCAAGCATTTATATATTGTTGTATTAATTTGTCATTAAACAATACACAAGTTGTAAAAGCATGAGAAAACTTTCATCATGAATCAAGAAAAAGAAACATAGACTAAGTTTATAATTCATACCACAATTGAGCTAAATTTGTAGTCTTCAAGCTAAACTTGTGCTTCAATTCACATATGAATCTATAAAAAAAATTAAAAAGAAAAAACAAAAGTTAGTAAGTAATTAATACCTACATACATTGCTAAAGAATAACGCATCATTAATCAAACTAACAGATGCACAGGGAAGCCTCAATAGCCGTTACAGTCATTTACCTTGGCGACCTGAAAGAGAGACACTTTCCGCAACATACAAGCTTCAGCAATGAATGGGGTCTTCGTGCCCGAATCTTTAAGCTTGATAACTGCAGACATTAATGAAATGGTAATCTATTAGTATAGTCAGAAACAATTCTAAAAACATCCTAGTTTAGGAAACTGAACAAGGAGTGTAACACACCAATCATATAATGTTCCATTAATTATGGATACTTTTTTCACAAACAGAGGTATCACTCTGAACAATTGTAAACAATCGAACTACATTTAACTAAGTCCATCTAATTTTAATAAGAAGTGAGTCCATGAATTTAGTAGCTAATAATACATATACTTGTATATAAATTGTAAATCAAAATTCAAACAAGGCCCACACAGCCATGCAAACCCAGACCACAACAAAAAACAGGCCCACACAGGTCGAAGTAGTAGAAACTAGATCGTGAAATCCTTGTTCAACATTTAAATCTGAAAGAAGGAAACAAAGGGTGACCCAATTCTCTGTAAAGAAACTCTAGAAAGAACCTTTTGAAAGGAGGTTTCGGTTGTTTGAGATGATAGGCCTTGGCGTGGTACCGTCGATAATTATTATGCTCTAGGAGGGGATTTGATCCTTTAGCAAAGTGGCCTATCAACAAGCCTTTTGCTTTTAACCCACTGTAAGAAAAAGTCACGGCGGGAATGGTACTTATTTCTATTAGGTGTTGGTTTTTTGTGGGTTGGAAGTAATGATGGTTTCGGTTTGATGCTTGCAGAAGTTGATATTGATTTGAGGGTTGTTTTCCTCTTCTTAGAGGAAATTAGGGGAAGAGAATTACTGGGGGGTTGCGGCCCTCTGAAGGACAGCAGCAGGTAGGGTGGTTGCGGGGTAGTTTGCTCCATGCCAATGTGAGCAGCAGCAGGCCGCAGGCAGGCTGCGACAACACTTACCTAGCCGCGGGCAGCTTGCGGCGTGGGCTGTTTCCCCCTCCCATCCCAAGTGTAGTAACTAATCAACTTCAATTTCATGATATAAGTGTAGGCTACATGACTTTGTTAGCAAATGGAACAAGAAGCAGGAAAGAAATATTAGATCATAGAATTAAACTAGCTAGCCATATATCAGAACGAAAAAATGGACCTAAATTCTAGCATTATCAAATAGGACAACTTTTAATAATTACATATTGAAATACAAAGACCAACACAAGTTCCTTGAAGTTAGGTAAGGTATGTCATCACTAAGCTGAGGACATTTAGAGAAACAAATTCAACTTCAAAATAATGTTTACCCTGCAATCAATAACACCTAATTATAGGCATAAATCAGCTCCAAGGCAATAATTATCTAAAGATTAAGTTATATATACAACAAATGAACAAAAGTAAGAAGAATTATGAACATAAGCACATAATATGTACTTAGATACCATGCATTAAACAATTTCAGGGACTCAAAACACCTAAAATTGGGAACTCAAAGCAATAGTATAACAACTTCGGATTACCCATATGAACTAACAACACTTGTTTCATAGCTACTACAAGAAATAGTGAACTCTATTACAACGTAGTTATATAAAACAGCTAGAACTGTTATATACCAGTAATACAAAAAAAACAACCCCTGAATCAACGACTATCCCTAGATTGCGAAGCTATTCAATAGATAAAATTAGGAAGACCACGAAATTTACCTACCTCAAAGCTGCTACAATGGAGTTGGAAAGCTCGGAATGCGCTTCAATGGAGGTCATAATGCGCTTCAATGGAGGAGAGCTGTATATGGAGAAAAAGAGAGGAGTTGCGCTGCGCGGCAATGGAGGTGAGAAAGCCCACAATGCGCTTCAATGGAGGTCAGAATGCGCTTCAATGGAGGTCGGAATGCGCTTCAATGGAGGTCAGAATGCGCTTCAATGGAGGTCAGAATGAATGGGAGAGAAAGAGAGGAGTTGCGCTGCGCGGCAATGGAGGTGAGAAAGCCCACAATGCGCTTCAATGGAGGTGAGAAAATTCGGACCTATGCGTGAAGGAGAGCAATGGTTAGGGTATTCATGAACGAGAGAATTGAAGGAAGGTTAATTGAAGGGGAAAGCAGGGGAATGACGAAAAGGAAGAAGAAGAATTTTTCACGAAATAACTAAAGGCGGGTTTTTTTTTTTAATTTGGGCACCGGTTCGAACCGCTTGGAAATACACTTTTGCCAGCGGTTTGGGTTGAACCGGTGGCAAATCCATATTCCCTCCCTTTTTTTTTATAAAACAAAACTTTTTCCACCGGTTTTCAAGAACCGGTGGCAAAAGGGGGGTGCCTTTTTCAATTTTTCTACTAGTGATCTAGAACTAGGAGTGTCGCTTGCCCCATGCTGGACCACCCTTTACGAACTGCCCAGAGTCCGACTGTCTGTGTGTCTGTGCAGGACACCATGGCCAAAACAAATAGAACGGCTAGGATAACAAATTCAGACGGCTCCTCATTTTACGCGCCCATAAGCAAGATCTCGGACGTGTCACTGGGCGTCCCTAGCACTCCAAGTGATTCTATTTTGGCAGAATCAGGGGAGGAGGTTCAAAATGAACCTCTCATCATTGATCTGTCCGGGCAGGCGACTGCTTTGCCCGAGAGCTCGAGCGACGACTCTGAGCCCAGCATCTCCAGTCAGCACTCTAGCGACTTAGAGGAGAAGCACTCTATGCTAAATACAGCGAGAGATAGCCATAAGGTGGAGAAAGGGAAGAGATGGGCAGAGCCGGCTTCCACCCAAAGGGAAATGTACACTCCCTATTTTTTTCCATGTTCCCAAAGGCAGGCGCAAGGCCATGTCTGAAAAAATAGGGAGTTTTAGGGCTGACCATGTGATGGGTCATGGTTACATTTGAATAGTGCCGGATGCCGAGGATACGGTAGTCTAGCCAGAGTCATCCAGCTACAGGGACGAGTATTTTGGCTGCTATGAGGCGGCCATTAAAGCTGGTTTAAGATTTCCTCTACATCCGGCTGTAGAGAGGATTTTGGATGGGTACCAGCTAGGTGTCTGACAACTGGCCCAAAACTCATGGTTCAACATCTTGGGCTATGTTGCCGGCTGCGAGATGTATGGGGTAGAGCTAAGCTTTGAAGCTTTTTCTCATATGAACTACCTCAGCCGGACCCCAAAAACAAGCGGTACCGGCTGGTATCAGCTGTCTAGCCATAAAGGCTATATGATGACCATGGGAAAGGAGAACAAGTGGAAGGATTGGAGGAACACCTTCTACATAGTCTCCCACCTTGATAAGGTCAAGAACAAAAAGTAAAACAGGTGGAACAGGGATCCACCTTACCTAACAGGCGGATCTGACCTGCTGCATGTTCCTTAACAAGCAAAGGAAGAGATCCTGGATAGAGGGCTCTTCAAAGTGTACATCCCTCAAAATTACATCCCAAAGTATAAGTGGTTATACGATGGGAAGTACCTGGCCGCCTGCGGCCTTAGGGAGGAGATACCGAGTGGTAGAGGATCGCCTGTTTAGTGTGTCTTGATAGACTTGACTAATTTTTCTGTCTAACCATTTGATTCATCTTTTGCAGATAAAGCTATGAAAAAGATCTCGCCCTCCAAGAAAGTAGCTGCCCAACTCCGCGCAGCCATTCTTGGCAAGCGGTCCACCGAGGAGTCACCTGCCAGATAGGCGCCTAGGGTGAGCTACTTCACCTTAGCACAATTTCCCTTCTTTTTAATTATAATATGTTGGTCTCCTGTTTTTGATTCATTGACTTGTTGCAGAGCGACACTGTCAAACCCTCCTCCTCAACTTAGCTGGACCCCAAACATCAAAAACAGATGACTAGGGAAATGCCGACTCTTGGCAATGCCATGAGATAGACGGCCGCGAGGCAAGGAAGGACTCCCCAAAGTGGGGCAAGGACTCCGGCCACCCCTAGGAGCAGTCGGCCCCCAAGGGAAAAGGAGGCCGCCACAGGTATAACTTGCTCGAATCTTCGAAGTTTAATCAAACAACCGACTCCTCTGATTTCAGGCGGCTGTCTTTCTATTTTAATACCGCGCACTAATCAGTTCTCTTTGCAGATGCCCCTCAAGAGTCGGATCTAGTCCAGATGGCCAAGGCCATGCTGAAAGCCATCCTTTCTGAGGACAGGGACTCTGTTAAGGGAGTCGGCACCCTTAACCTTGAAGCCATCCTGGCTCACCTTGCCGAGGAATACTTAGTAGAAAATTCTCTTTTTCATTTAAACATTTGCGTGGTCACTTGTAACTGACGACTGTTTTTGGTCGGCTGCAGTCTATGCTGCGAGTGTATGGTCTCCGCAAACCCATCACCGAGAAGAACAAAAAGGTAAAAGCTGCGAAGGCCATGGTTGCCTCTGATTCTGATAAAGCTATGTTCCAGATAGCTCAAAACGAGATTCTAACCACTGACATACTGTATTACCAGGCGTCCGCCACTTTGCAGGTCAAGCAGGACTTAGAGGCGGCCAGGAAAAAGATCTTGGAGCTGGAGAAGTCTGTAAAGGACCTCAAGGCTGAGCTCAGGCCTCTAAAGGAGGCGGACAAGGAGGCCGAGGGACTTCGCGCTCGGGTGAACAAGCTCAAGGGCCGCCTGCAAAATCAAGAGGCTGACCTCACCTAGAAACTTAACGAAAAAGTCGATGAAGAGAAGATGGCCATTGTTCAGGACATGATGGAGGACATCAACGCCATCATGAAGATGACCTGGGCGGCCCTCTTCCCTGATACTAGCTATGAAAAATGGGGGAGCCAGTTCGCCGTCTATACTGATCAATTCAACAAGAAGATCATGGGGCAGGCAGATGGAGAGGAGGAGGCGGATGAGGAGGCGTCCGACTCCACTTCCGGGGAGTCGGACCAAGAAGAGGAGGACAAGCAGGAGGCGGACGGTGATGAGGAACCGCCGCAAGAGGAGGCGGATGCCGATAAGGAACAGGCGCTGGTTGACCAACCAAATCAAGTGGCTGTCAACCCTGCAGGTCCTGCTTAAATTCCAATTTTTATGTCAACTTTCTTCGGCCTGCGTGCCCTTTGTTCTGTATCTTTACCCGACCAAGGGGTCGGGGTTTATATACAATTTTTAATTTCCACATTTCCAGTCGGTCATCTGACCGACTGTTTATATTAATCATTCTGCTATTTTTGCCGTTTTTCTTCAAATTTCCAGTATGTAGTTTGCTTCTTGTTTTCATGAATGCCTTTTATACCGATTATTCTTGCCCCTGGGCCCTGGCACCTGGTTTTCAAAGGTGAGTTGATTGACTTAGAATTTTTGATACTTTTTCAGTATTATTAATTCTAGGTCAATCAATCACCATGGTGATTGCCCCAAACCAGGCGGACAGTCGGCCATTGCCCAGGCGAACACCTAGCATAACTCGGCTCTCGGCCTCAATATAGTTCTTGACGAACCTAAGTTTCGTACTTAGTTTATTTTATTGATTATAAATAGTCCGTCTATTTGGTGCTTGTATAGAATAGGCACCAATCTAGACGTTTTTAATCAAGGTAGCTTCATGGTGCTAGTAAAAATAGGAATAGTGGCCGAAGGCCGTCTGTTTGCCAAAAATAGGCGGTTTCATTCGTACCTTTTAGATTCCAAATGTAGATTGCTGAGTGACTATGAACTTTTTAGGTTGATCAATCTCCGTCACTTGTACTTGAGTGATCAAAAGAAATAGTCGACTGTGGCCGTCTGTTGTGTTTGCAACTTAGAGGAATAGTGGCTGAATACCGTCTGTTTGCCAAAAAACAGGCGGCTTGGTTCGCACCGTTTAGGTTCCATCTTAAGTTTTCCAGAGTGACCATGAGTTAACCCTTGAGGTTTATCAATCTGCCACTTTGATTTGAGTGCATAGAAGAAACAGGCGGCTTTCGCCGCGTGGTTCCTCATATGAACTGCAATGTACTAAGTTTGGTACTTAGTTTATTTTGTTGGATGTTAGCTGGTCGTCTGCTATGGTGGCTGCATAGAAGCAGGCGTCAAACGGAATGTCCAACCGAAGTAGCTACGCCTGTTGGGTTGCAGGCGGTAGCTTTAGTATAGTTAATCTAGTAAGAATAGTGGTCGAGTACCTCTGTTTGCTAAAAAACAGGCGACTTTCTCATATCTTTTAGGTTTCGTACTAGGTTGTTTGACTGACTATGAGTTAACCTTGGGGTTAATCAGTCTCCGTCACTTTTGTTTGAGTAGTAGAAGAATCAGGCGGCTTAGGCCACATGACCTCCTTTATTCGCCAAGTTTTTCTTAGCTATTTACTCAAATTGCACCGTCTGCAATTATCCCAAGTAATGACAGGCGGCTTCTGACTCGGATTTTAATTGTCTACCGCTTGTTCGGGGAGCGGTACGTTTATCTTTGTCTCATATCAAACAATTGCGAGGTTGTCCTTGGGGACACTTGGTAGGGCCGTTTGTTTTAGGTTTATAGATCAATGTGCAACCCAAATTGGGAGATGCTCTCTGCGACGAATTCACCCTGATGGATGTCGCCGGACGCCTGCTCAAGTTTTAGGACAGACATAGTAGTTTAATTTTAAAAAGATCATTCGGCCATGGAACTTAGGTTGATCATCCGGCCTGTGGCCTCATTAGATTGTTCAGAAAAGAACAGATTGCTAAGTATTTAAAAGAAATAAGGCCGACTGTGTTCTGCACAGGCGGCTTGCCCCACTGAGGAGACTTTGCATAATAATTGAAATAAATTGCAAACTTTATTGATATGTTTACAAATAATTTACAAATCTTAGAAGTAGTACTTTTTTAAGTTATCTACACTCCA